GCCACCGACCCTCGTAGATCGCCTGACCCGGGAGTTGGGGCCGCTGCCCAGCGCCACGAGAGAGGAGCGTCCCACGGATCGCTGGCCCAGGAAAACAGCGAGCTCAAAATTCCAAGTACTATTTCCACCGAAAGCATATCGCTTTGGCACCACCATAAAGTGTGGAAACAGTGAATTGAACTACTAGTAAGCTGGGGACTGTCCCCATGCCAGGGACCGTCCGCATGCACAGACACACACACAGAGCGCTGCACCAGCCCAGAGAAAGGACCCAAAATGGCAGCACATGTGCGGTCACTTGGACACACTGCTCTCCCTGGCTCTGTTTCACGAGCACCTGATTCTGTGTCCCCAGTGAAACACTGCGTCTCTGTATGCACCAGCCACCGCCTCCGTACAGCCCCAGGCTCCCACCGTGACAGTCTGGGCGTCCCTGGCTCCCCAGTCTACCCGGCTTCACGTCCAACCAGGTGCCCGGCCCCCCTTGGCTGCCCTGCCCTGCGCACCCCCAGCCCACACCTTCGGCCCCTTCCCCAGTCTACTACCCTGATCTCCTCCCTCAGCCTCCGCCCTCCCAAGTGGCTGCCCGAGGACTGATCCGCAGCCCAAGGCCACTGGCAACACCCTGCCCAGAAGTCTTCTGTGGCTCTTTCTTCCACAGAAGAAATTTTAGAGGCCCTGTGCCAAGCTTTGCTCCCCAGGTTCAAAGCCTCCCAGAGGCTTCACGCTGAGCTCCTTCTTCGGCCTTCTGAGCCCCCAGGGCTTGTCCCTTCCTGCTGGCTGGGCTCTGCCCCCTCCCCGCCCCACCAGGCCCTGGGCTTCAGCTGCTGCTCCCGTTCCTCCAGCTTGGGTGCCCTGTCCCGCAGCCGGCTGCTCCCCGGAAGACCCCTACCCACCTTCAACTCAACCTTCCCTTAAAGCTGCCTCCTCCAGGGGCGCCCGGGGGGCTCCGTCATGTGTCCAACTCTTGATTTCACCTTGGGTCATGATCTCGCAGTTTATGAGTTCAAGCCCCAAATCAGGCTCCACGCTGACAGCTTGTAATTCTCTCTCTCTGTCTCTCTCTCTAAGTAAATAAGTATACTTTTAAGTAAACAAATAAATTAAATTAAATCAACGAAAGTGCTTGTCCCAAGGGTGCTGCTTGTTCCCATAGCAGCACCCAGCCTCTGCCTCAGCAGTTTGTCCTCCACGCGCACTTAGCACCTTCCAGTAGTTTCCGGAGCCCCGAATGTGCGCATGTGCCTGCCTGTCTCCTCGCACCGGAGTGTCAGCTCCTGGAGAGCGGGGCCCAGGGTCTGCTTCCCTGTTTCTCCCCAGCGCCCATACCCGCAGCCAGTGAACTATGGTGGGTGCTTTACATAAACGACCTCCTGGCCACAGGAGCCCGCAGGGTGCACCTCGTTTCCCCAGTCACCTGCTAAGAGCGGGTCACGCGGTCAGGGCCTGACACAGGCTGAATTGCCTCGTCCCACCACCACGGCCGCACAGGGCTTTCCTCCGGCCCGGGTCCTGAGGGTACATAACTCAAAGTCTCGTTTCCGGGGTGAACAGCTCCATGGACCCCTGCCCCCAACAGCCACCTCGCCTCCCCGCCTCTGTCTACGGGGATGCTCACCATCTGCAAGCCAGCCCGGGCGCTCACACGGAGCTAGAACGAGACTGGTCACCTGGCCTCACTCCTTCCCTCGTCACGTCTGAACACATGGAGTGCCAGGGCCGGGCGCCTCACACCCCTGACCTCAAGGCTCCACCGCTGTAAGGCGCGGGCTCCTTGGGCCTCGGGACCCATGTGTTTTGCACACGGCCCGATCCCACTCCCACGCAGCCGCACGTGATAAAAATGAACGCCTCCAAGTGTCATTTTCTTGGGCTTCAAAGCAGGCAGCCTTTTGCACAAGTAAATATTGAGTCAATGCTAAGAGCGGAATGAGCTGTTAAGTTCTATTTGCTACTTCCATCCCCAGGCTCATAACAGAGCACAAGCTAAACAAAGAAAAACAGCTCTCCGCCGACGAAATGACATTCAGCAGGTAGAATCATTTCTGTGGGCACTTCTCACATCAGTGATTTGCTTCTCCAACATTGGCAAATATTTGCCACTTATGTCTTTTATGTAATGTGAAGATAATATATTCCACTGTCTTCCAAGGCTATCTTAAATGCCGTATAAAAACAGGCAATTCACTGGCTGTGTTTTCTCCTGCCACTAAATACAAATCCAGTAATTGTTTAAGTTTGAAAGCTTTGGTCTTAGCCTCTTGGTGTTAGATTTGATACTTAGCTAGCAGAGAGCTCAGAAGGCCACCAGCCCAACAAAAGAATCTTATCTGTACCTGGTAACCTTCATCCTGCCCATACACGGCCCTCTGCCCACAGGTCCTGAGAGCTTTGTTTCCAAGCCGGACTTTCGTTCCCACGAGTCGGGCCAGTGACGAGGCACGTGTGAGGCCTGACGGGGGCGCCGATCCTGGACCACAGCCTCACTTCCCGCCAGCCCCCATCTTGTCTTCCCCGACCACCTCCTCGCCGCCTACCATGAGAAACCGCTTAACCAGCCAAGGGGACGCGCGCAAGCCGCCCTGACTTGTCGGTGACCACACAGTGACCACGCACGTCGGTGCTCTGAAAAGTTAAAGGGAAAGGGGCCAACGCAAATGATCCAGAACAAGGCACTGGCCCCACCAGGCAGCATTCATCCCGTGCGGGCACCGGTGGGCGTCCATCCGTGCGGGCACGCTCCTGGGCACTTTGCAGGCACCACGCCCTGGGTCTGCACACCGGCACCGCGAGCGTACAGGGCGGACCAACGAGGACAGCGGGAGCAGTGCCGGGCTCGCTCCCTCACGGGGCCAGAGAGCAGCGTCCCCGGCACCCCCACCCTGCCTCTGGGACTCGGCCTCCCCGCCCTGCCTCCAGGGCACAGCTGTGCTGGGAGGCTACAAAAGCAAGTGGTTGCGGTTGGGACTCAAACCCCGAGACCAGACTCCGTCACGCCAGGTCCACCTGCCACCCCGGCGTGGAGGCCGCGACCCCTGCCACCCGCCCAGTGGTCAGGCTCCCCTCCGCCACACCCACACCCAGGGTACTCTTTTAGCGGCCCAGTCGCCAGCTCACGGTGAGGACCACGGCTCTGAAGGGCTGTCCCTGAACCCGCTAACAGCAGTGACGAGGGGCAGTGACGAGTCCCGGGCACCACAGACCTGCAGGCTGCACAGCAAAGCACGGGCCGGGTGCTCCGCCAGCACAAGCACGGGAAACACACTGGCAAGTTCAAAGGCGTGAGCAGAGCAGCATTACCACGCGTGTGGAAAAAGAAAACTGGTTGTGCAAATGTGCAGACACCAAAGTGCCTGTCTAGAAATGACTTCTTAACTGGTAGATGAAATGAACAACTTTCCAGGGAAGGAACTGACAGACGCCTTCTTAACCAAGTGACTGGACTCAACTCATCAACACTGGGATGAGCCAGCACGGCGGCCTCCCACCATGGCGACGAGATCGCAAACCTCTTACGTGACATTCGTGCCAATGACTGGCCCGCATCTCATCAGGAGAAACAAGACAAGCCACACTGACGGGCACCGCGGAACAGCCGGCCTGCCCTCTCCCAACACACAGACACCCAGGGACCCGGCGCAAGGCTGAGACACCGCTAGGGCCGCCGGAGATGACGCACGAGGGAAAAGACAGCCGGCGCGTCACGGGACGACAGGCACCACGTGAACATGGGCCTTGGCTGAGATAAGAGCACAGTACCAACGAGAAATGTCCCGACTCTGACAACACTGCCGTGATTACACCTGCGTGCTTGGAAAACACACTGGGAGTTTCTCTGGACGATAGGGATACAATATGTCCAACGGACTCAAACGCAAACTTTCCGGAAAAACATGCATACACACAAGTACACACACAGAACAAACACGGGACAAAATACAAGCAACTGGTGAATTAACGTGGGAGTCGTCTATACCATTCTTGCAACTTCTGTGTAAATCTGACATTACATCAAAATAAAAAGCTTAAAACTTCACGTGCCAGGAAGCACACCTAGAAGGCAGGGAGGGAGAGGAGAGTGACTCTCCGCTGCACGTCCTTCGGTGCTGCATGAAGGTGTAACACGTGCATGCACAAAGCAATCAATAAAACCCACAGGGAAGAACCCTTCTGCGCCCAGAGGGGAGCCCCTTGGTGGACAGGGTCTCCCAGCTTCCAGGCTCCTCCCACCCAGTCTGGCCCCCGAGGCCCAGCCGCATGCCTCGTGCGCCACCTGCTGGCCGAGCAGGACACTGCCCGCCTGGGCTCGCCAGCCCTGGGGCCCCCCTGGCTGCGCAGGCTGAGGTGCCCTCATGACCACGCCCGTCCCACCTTCCAGGGGCTCCCGCGTCCAGCAAGATGCCCTGTGCGGTGGCACTCCACAGAGACGAGATGTGCGCGGGGAAAGCTCACAGGCGGCAGACAAGCAGGCTCAGCGGAGGGGTTTAAAGCGAAAGCCTCTGGCCTGGTTGCGAAGTGTCCTGGCTCTAGAAACCCTGGAGAAGCAGACGGGGACTGCCCTGGCCCCTGCTGGTCTGCCCCCACACGCCCAGCCTGGGCTCCCCAGAGCACTCACTGCAAGCCACACAGGACACCGGCTCTGGGTCCCCAGGGAAAGGTACAAAGTCAGCAGCAGCCACGACTTCGGTCACCAGCCGCGCGCCCCCGAGAACACTATGAAGCGCGGGGACGTAGACCCGGCTGGTCCTATGGAGCAACCCAGAAGCGGCTCTAAGAAGCCAAAGGAGTGCCCTGGGGTACAACGGGGACAGGGCGGAGCACACCGGACACCGGATCGGCCACATGGGACGCACGTTACCAGCGCACGGCTGAAGCAAGCCGCAAGGACAAAGGACTCTCATCCTCGGGACTCGCTGGCGTGAAACACAAACAGACCCCCCCTCACGAGGGGATAATCCCAGAACGCGGCTCTGCTCCTTGCTCCACCGGCAGGGACTTACCGAGGTCCGTGTTGGGGCCGGCCAGAAGCTGCTGGAACTTGTCGAGCCGGGAGGCCTCCCTCTCACTCAACGCAGAGCTGCTGAGGGTGCTGGGGTCAGGTGTCCCACCAAGTGCGACAGTCACCGAGTGTGGCAGAGACTGGGACCTCTGAAGAGGAACAGTGTCTCTAGCACTTTCTGTAGAGAGAGAGGGAGGGGGAGAGCAGGGGTGAGGATGGCCTCCTGGATGCCCCAACTGCCACTCCCCATGAAGAAGGCTCCCACCTGCGCCACCTTCCCTGGGTGAGCGCCACAGTGTCACAGCTGTCCCTTCTTCCTGTCACCGGGCAGCACAGACCCGGGTTTCCTGAGCAACAAAATGAAACTAGCAAACACCTACGAAGTTTGGCCGCCTTACTGGTAACACAGACGCGCCCCACACAAAGGCAAAATAACGATGACTGGAAAACCCCAGGCCCGCCTCAGGGCAGACCAGCTGTCAGGGTCCCCCAAAGCAGGCCAGCCAGGTGTGCCAGGTGACACAGCCCAAGGAGCAGGGACGAAGGTGCTGTATGGGTCACCCAGCCTGAGCACGAAAGGAAACCACCTAGTCACACGTGGATTGGAACAAAGCCCACAAAAACACTAGGGACTCTCTTAACCCCCTGGATCTCCCCACGCCCCGTAGGGGAGGTGGGGCGGGGACCTTCACCCAGAGAAAGCTCAGGAAGAGCCCACTGCACGTAGGGGAGAGGCAGCAGCAGCTGGCCTGCCCAGCGCTCCCCAGAATGCCGCCTACCACCACGCACAAAGGCCCAGCGACCCTGCTGCCAGGATGCACAGGACCGAGGTGACGCAGGGCATTAAGGCCGGCAAGCTGGGACAGGGAACCGCCACAGGAGACCGCCCAAGGCCCATGGGCCACTCAGAGAGAGCCACCAGGACCAACCAGGGGCCCATGAGCAGACGGCAATGACGGGCTGCACATCCCTAGGTCTAAGTACCATCGAGCGCTCACATCTTCCAAAACTGAAATTTAAAGCGGAAGGAAAAATACACTGCAGGAAACGGGACGAGGGACACACACGTGAAGCAGGCAAGCTGGCTCCTGCAGTGGCTGGCGGGCCCCCACGGCTCCCTCCCTCCGGCAGGGCCGACTCATGACCCTAAAAACATGGGTGGGGAAGGCTTCACACAGAAACCCTCGGGCCACTGCGCAGCAAGACGACCCACCGCCGCTGGGCAGAGTCCAGCCCAGTCAGGCTTCCAGAAAAGCCTACAGATGTGGACATCCACCTCCTGGCCCTCCTCAGGGCTGCCCCTGCAGGAGGCGTCCCTGCCAGCCCACCTCGGGGAGGGCTCTGCAGGGGGACGGGAAGGGGGAGTGGCAGGATGCTTAGACCTCCCCCCTCTCGCCCTCAGGATCTGTTACTTCGCTGCGCATCATGATTCTTTAGGAAAATGACAGGCAGGAAGAACAGTCCCCCATTCTATCGCAGGAGAAAACGTGCTGATCTTACTCATCCGCAATCTCAGAGAGGACCCGTGTGATTTATTATGACACATGACGAGGGGGTGACGAGGGGTGCCTGGGTGGCTCAGTCAGTTAAGCATCAATTCTTGATTTTGGCTCAGGTCATGATCTCACGGTTCTTGAGTTCGAGCCTTGCATCGGGGCTCTGTGCTAACGATATGGAGCCTACTTGGGATTCTTTCCTTCTCTCTCCACCCCTCCTCTGCTTGCCCTCTCTCTCTCTCTCTCTCTCTCTCTCAAAATAAATAAACATTTTAAAAAGTTTATAAAAAAATTTACAAGGACACGTGCATACCGCTGCCTCCCGCACATAGCACACGTCTGGCCCCACAACGGGGCAGGCGGGGTCCAGAAGGCACAGCCAGGTCTCCCTGCTACTGTGAGTGGAAAACACGTGGGCATTCCCCCTCAGGGCCCCTCAGAGTGGGTCTAACCTTCACCAGTCAGTGCCCGTCCATCACCCACTCAAAGCTCAGTCACAGTCAGCGACTGACACACACCTCACCTGGCCGTGCCCTGTCCCCAGCCAAAGACGCACTTTGTCATGAAGCCAGCGGCACCCTAAATCAAGCAGGTACATCTGACTTCAGGTCTAGATTTCTCCAATGTTTACTCAGGAAGCAGGACAGTCAAAAGGTAAACAACAGGCACAGGGAAGGCCAGCCTAAGAGTCCCACATGGCTCGTCCCTGAATTTTCAGGCCGCCATAGATCCAGGGCAGATGCTGCGCAGGGTGACACGCGCTCCCCATGGTGGCGCGCCGTCAAGGGACAGGCACCCAACCCAGACGCCAGCAGGGGCCAGGCAGGCAACGCCCTACAGGACCGTGTCTTGTGAAAGGCGGTGTCTGGGGCTCCCACGCGCAGTCACATGACATGGAGTTCATGCATCCCTCACCTGGACAGAGGCCAGGCCTGGGCCGTGTGGCCCGTGCAGGGCCGGGGCGGGGGGTGGGGCGGGTGCTGTGGAGGCAGGGAGAGCACGGGGTCACCAGGCCCCCCCGAGGACAGCCCCGTGTACCTCAGCAACACCTATGTAACGACAGGGAACGTCACGGGGAGACAAAGGTAGTGGAACGCAGTCCCTGCCTGAGAGGAACCTGCAAACTAAACAGACGAAGTGCGTGACGGGCACGACCTAGGGGAAGCCCGCTGACCCGGCGCCGCCCGGCCTGAGCCCAGAGCCTCACCCTCCTGGAAACCCTGCAGACATCACCCCCTCTCTGAAGCCTTCCGTGACATGCCCTGGCCCCCGGCCCTCCTCATCAAGACACACTTGGGACTCCAACACCGGGTGCTTCTGGGTCCATCCGCCACCCTGAAGCTCCACCCGCCGGGGGAGGTTGACGACTCGCCTCGTTGCGGATCCCCACCAGACTGCCAGTTGCCAGCTCCTCGCCAGGGCCGGTCCGGCAAGAACAGGGACTGACGTGCTCATCTTAGCACAACACAGAGTGAGCCATCCCGACTACAATGGGCCACCAGCGGGACTGAACACAGGCCCACGAGTTCTGCCCGCCACTGCCAGCCCCCCGTGGACGCAGCTCCCTGAGGGGCCACCTCGGCACTGTGCACGGGTGGGGGCGGGGCAGGCACCCCAGGTCTCCGCCCACTTTGTGCCCAGAGCACTTACTCCTTGCCCCTGACGTGACAACCAAAGAAGTCCCCTGGGGGGCGGACTAGCCAGTGGAGAGGCCCTGCCCTACGCAGTGAGGCCAGTGCCAGGCACTGGAGCAAGACCCCCGGGTCTTGAGCCCTGCCCCACACCATGCAGAGCACCGCTCCGGGCAAGCAGGGTGCCTTCCCCGCGCGGCCCCGTAGCGTCACTCCTAGGGCGGCTGCAGCACCAGCGGGGCGGGCGGGTGATGAGGGCCTGCTACAGGCCTTGCCACCACAGACAGGGGATGAATGCCTGCTGCTATGGCGACACGGGAGGCGCTCACGGAAGCCTTACCGAGCACAAAGGAAGGATGGTGCACTCCCAGGTAGGGGGAGGCAGGAGGCAGCTGTGATTATCAGCCCCTCCCCCAGCATGACCCACCGGGAGCACCCTCCCCATGGCTCTTACAGGAGCCGGCCACCCCCAGGCCCCCCACCCTGGCTGGACGCAGCCCCACCGTGCACGTGGCCACGGGCTGAATGCTGTGCACCCCAAAGTTCGTATGTTCAAGCCCTGCCCCCGGACGGGATGGTGTTAAGAAGAAGGGCCTCCGGGAGGTGATCGGGGTTAGAGGAGGTCAGGAGGGTGGGGACCCCACGGCGGGATTAGCGCTCTCACGAGAGTCACAAGACAGCTTGTTTCCCCCTCTGGTCTCCCCAGCGTGAAGATACCGTGAGAGGGTGGCCACCCACACCCGGAGAGAGCCCTCGCCAGGATCCAACCGTGCTGGCGGCCTGATCTCAGACTTCCAGCCTCCAGAACTCTGTTCACACACCATCCAATCTGTGGTATTCTCACTACAGCCGCCCGACTCACCGAGGTAGGCCCCACGTCTCCAGGAGCTGAGGCCCTACCGACAACCGATCGATGGCAGGTGTTACAGAGGCTCTACCCGGGGCCCTGAGGCTTGAGAAGATGCCTTGATGCCTTGCATCAGCACAGCAAAGGGCAGAGGAGGGTGGGGCGCCTGCCAACAGGAAGAGGCGCATAGGCTGAGAGCACGCAGGGGGGCAGTCAGTGCAGGGGCGCTCAGCGTATGGGGGCACTCAGCGTGCAGGGGGCGGCCAGCACGCAGGGGGTGGTCAGTGCAGGGAGTGGCCAGATGCAGGGACGGTCAGTGCAGGGACGGTCATTGCAGGGGGCGGTCAGCACAGGGGACAGTCGGTGCAGGGACGGTCAGTGCACAGGGGGTGGTCAGCGCAGGGGACGGTCAGCGCAGGGGGCGGTCAGTGCACAGGGGGTGGTCAGCGCAGGGGGCGGTCAGCACAGGGGACAGTTGGCGTGAGGGGGGCGGTCAGCACACAACCCATGGGTCACAGGGAGTCCCAATCCACTCGTGGAAGCCCTACCCGGATTTTCATGTTTAGGCTCAAATGCTTTGAAGTTCACCCTATTTTAGAAAAACTAGTTTCTATTCTAACATGCAAACTGATCAAAAGAACTAATTCACCACATTCTCACCGAAGGAGATGTGGCGCGTTTCAAATGTCAATCAACTAGTAAGAAGGGTTTCTGAAGACCCGACAAAGCACGGAAGCCACCCCGTGTGCACCAACAGGATGACCTGAGGCTGCCGATGGCCACCTCCTCGCACACGGGGAACAATCGCCTGGGAGGGGAGCCAGTGAGTGTGGGGCTGGCCCCTGTGCTGTTGGCGCCCAGCCTTGCTCCCTCATCTTCTCAGAAAGGCGCCCCGATGGCCAGGTCTCAGACTGCGCCCCAGGGTCCGGCCTGCTCTCATGACCACGTCCCGCTTCTATTTTGACCTACAGCACTTTTCACCTCCCTGCACGCTCGGTGCCTCCTTACCAACCATGCGTAGGTCAGCGTCTGTCCCGCTCACCAGACTGTGCTCCAGGGCCAGGACCTCCCTGGGGCCCCCCACACCCTGAGAACGGTGCCTGACCCACCACAGAGGTTCGGCAAGTAACTGCTGTCTTACATCACGCACTCCCCAAAACAGTGATGAGAGCAATCTCGAGAAAGGCCATGGAGTGCCAGGCACAGGGTACGAGACCCGCACTGATTTCATCCTCGAGTTTATAACTCCAAATCCCGAACCCCACCCCCACCCTCACGTGTACTTGACCCGGGGCAGGCGATGGGGGGATCGCTGGAAGCTGCCGAAGGAGGTGCAGCCTCTGAACATGCAAGGGGCCTGGCCCCCTGGCTGGGAATGTCACCCCTGAACACCGGGGCACACCAAGGGAGACAGGGCCCCCGGGGCCTGGCGCTCACCATGGCCTCTTACGACCAGCCCCGAAAGCCACATACCCTGCCCTGCACTTGGAGGAGAGAAGCGCTAAGCTGGGAGGGCAAAGGAGAGCCCCCCCCCTACCCTGGGTCCGCGGGGAGCTCCTGCCGCACACCTAACAGAACACTCCTGATCTCCCACAGGGAAAGGACGCCAGCCCCTTCTCTCTCGGAAACGCACCCCGTCTGCTCGGTGCCCCCATCCCACCTGCGGGACAGGACGTGTGGCTCTCGCTGACGGACTTCACCAGCCGGAGGTCGCCGCTTGGCACCGCGGGAGACTCGGGGCCGGACGGCTCGGGCGGCGTGCGGCGCTCCTGCCGCTGGCTGTGGTTGCGCAGGACGCGGTTGGCGGTCTCCATGACGACCGCAGTGTTCAGGCTCTCGGCCGCCATGGCTAGGAGCTCATCGTCATCTTCGCTGGCGTCCCAGGCATCGCTGGTGTTGCTCTCAAACTCCTGGAAGGTGCTGGTCCTCCTGGCCTTCACCGGGGTGGTGGGCACCTTGGGTGTGGCCTTGAGCAGGCTGCAAAGTAAAGGCAGGCCTTTACTTGTCCTCCCGGGGGCCTGAGAGGACTCTCCCGATGCAATGGCGCACCGCAAGCCTTCCACTTCAACTGAGTGGAGGGTAAAGCGAAAAGCAAACACAATCCGAAGAAGCATCCGGAAGAAGACTCCTAAGGATTTAGGGGCAGGAAGGAGAGGCATTGGACAGCAAGTCCCCCTGAGCAGCCCAGCCCTCATGCAGAACAATCTGGGAGGAGACGGCCCGGGGGCAGGAGGGGCTGTCCACACAACCTGGCCTCTGGGACATGGACTTGGAGAAGGCACAACTTAAACAAGGCCCCACGGTGTGCGCAGTAACATCCGCCGTCCACCACCGGCGTGGCCACGATGTCTGTCCCATGCCTCCGGTGCAGCAGCCCAGACCCAGGGACAAAGCAGCCCCCAGGCGGCTGCACAGGGTGCAGCCCAGGACGAGGCAGTGAATGGACCCCCGGGAGCCAGGCCCGCCCCCAGCAGCTCAGGGGGTGCGGCCCCGGGCTCTGCCGCACAGGCTCCCTGACCTCGGGCTGGGCCTCCGCGCCTGCCTTCCTGCAGAGGACGGCCATGCGAGGCCTCGACACATGTCCCTCCCCGCTCAGGTATCCCCAGGAGCCGGAGGGTCACAAGGCCCCGAGAGCGCGCATCCAGCAGCCTGAGTCCAGGCTTCACTTACGTGCCATGTAACAGTGGGTCGAAGGGGGGGTGCTGGGCGCCATACACATGCTGGATGCTGCTTGAGAGAAAGGAGGAAAAGCGGTTAGCTTCTCTTTGGTGTCCCCAGAGCCCACCGCCACCTCAGAAAAAGGACAGTTCCCAGCAACCCACACGTGAGCCTGAGGGCAGCCACACCCCATCAGCTGCCACGGGTCCCCGGGGCCCGTCTGGAAGGGATGGTGCCACACACGCCCACACGCGCCAGCAACGGGCACTCAGTCCGCCTGCAAACGGGCTGGGCCGGGGGGCCACAACCCACCAGCAGCACCGGGCCCCGGGCGCCGCCGGCGACAAGGCTGCTGGGCGCCGGGAGCCACCGGAAGTCCGGCAGCCTCTGCTCTCTGCCCGGGGCCCCGGCAGGACCGAGCCCTGATGACCAAACACCTGCCTGGAAATTCTCACTCGGTACCACTTTGTCAAAAGGCAAAACGCAGAATTACAAAGAGAAGATAAATGTAGATTTTTGGGGGCGCCTGGGTGGCTGAGCATCCGACTTCGGCTCAGACCACAATCTTACAGTTTGTGGGTTTGACCCGTATCGGGGTCTGCTTCTGATTCTGTCTCCCTCTCTCTCTGCCTCTCCCCCTGCTCACGCTCTCTCTCTTTCAAAAATAAACATTTAAAAATTGTTTTTAATTTTAAAATGTTTTTGAAAAACCTAATAGTTTATTATAAAAGTCTTCTGCTCATCTGAATAAACTTGGAAAATGGCAGGCGAGCAGGGTGGTCAGCTGAGCAGCCCCCACCACACCCCTTCCTCCTGGGCTGGGGGCTTCCAGCCGGGGAGGCCACGGCAGGCCACGTGACCCAGCGCAGGTGAGTCAGAATTAGCTCAGGCCCTTCCTGGCTGAACAGCACGGCCCTAGCCCGCAGCCGTCCCCTCTCCCTGCCTGGAACTCAGATGTGAGGCCTCGAGATTCCGCGGCCTTTGCACCACGTTGAGAAATACGCTTGAGATACAGAACCACCCAGGAAGGTGGCAGAGCAGGCAGGTGAGGGAGAGCGCTGTCCACCGTCCGCTCCCTCGGACTTCCATTTACACTAAATGAAATAAACAGAGCCTGCTCCTCCGGCCACTAGCAGGGGGACATCCCGTCCCGTCCCCTTGCAGGAGACAGCCACAGTCGCACTCTGACCCAGCGCCTCGCCGGCGGTACGCACGCGCAAAACCAAAGGCAGACACCAGGGCGTTTCATGCACAGATGAAATATTTTCATTTTTAAAAACAGAATGCAAGCTCACCTTTTTCACTAAGCAACCCATCATGACTGCTTCCCCGTGTCCTTCCCATCAATTCCCGTAAATGCATCCATTGACCTCACGTGTGCTGACACGTGCAAAAACACGCACTCGCCTTACGAGGTTTGTAACAACGAGAAGGGCACTCCTCGTGAATCTGTAATTACTTCCAATGTTTAAAGGTTTTCAAAAGTCCAAACAGTGAATGAGCACCAGCCGACATGTCACTGCCTGTCCCACCTCCCTGGACAGCATCACCTTGACTGTCACCGTCCCACCACACAGCTGCACCGTGACTGAGCCACTGCTGACTGTGCCACGCGTTGCCCATGCGGCGGCCACGGGGACAACCAAACCACGGCTGATCTCACGGGCCAAAGCTGGTCTTCCGCTGGCCGAGTCTCCTCAGTGACCCGGAAGGTAAAACACGTCTGTTCACTTGTGCTACTTCGTTTAGTGAACCGCCTCCTCAGACCCTTTGTCCACTTTTCTTAGGGGCTATTCACCCTCTTCTTAACGTTTACCAAAAACCGTTTTGGAAATAGGGTTTCTTCTCTGTCATTCGGGCAACAACGGCCCCTAAAGATGTGACATCCGAGGCTGAAGACACGCAGCAAGTGCAGGACATGGTCCTAGGCTCTATTCTGTACTCGGGAGTAGTGCGGGCGCAGGCTGTGAGGATGTGATTGGACTCAATGACAAAGCGGCTAACACGGGTGATGGGTTAGAGTGCTGTGTCAGCGCAACATTTCCTGACACTGAACTGCCCTGTGTTTATGTAAGAGAGTATCCCCATTCTGTGGAAACATACACTGAGGTAACGAGAAATAAATTACACGGAGAGGGAGAAAGGAGGATGTGAGAGTAGCCGTGAGCAAATGACAAATGGTGGAAGAAATGGGCAAAATGTTACCAATAAGTTGATATGGGTAATGACTTTGTGGATGTTCTTTGTACTCTGCTGGCCATTCTTCTGAAGGCTTGAAGTTGTTTCCAAATAAAAAGTGAAAAAATAAATAAATAAAATAAAATAAAATAAAACATGGAAAGAAAAAAAAAGGTGTGACATCCTAATCCCAGAACCTGTGACCGTGTCGCCTCACACGGCACAGGGGGCTCTGCACAGGTGATCAAAGACAGAAACGCTGGGTGTAGCCAGGGCTAGCCGGGTGGGCCCAATCTAATCACCAGTCCTTAAAAGCTCTCCCTCTGAGAGGGAGCAAGACCATGAAGAATACTCAGATCCAGGCTACACTGCTGGCTGTGAAGATGGAGAAGGGGGCCACGAGCCAAGGCATAGTGGAAGCCTCTAGAAGCTGGAGAGGGTAAGGAAACACCTTCTCCCTTGGAACCTCCAGAAAGCCCTGCCAACACCTTCCTTTGAGCGCGGCAAAACCCACATCAGACTTCTGACCTCTGGAGCCATAAGATAACACGTGTGTATTCTAAGCCAATGAGTTTGTGGTAATTTGTCACAGTAGCAAGAGAAAACCAGAATACAGAACAGAATGGAGACAGACAAGGTGACAAATCCATCTGCCCAGTTTATGGAAGCTCAAAGGCCTATGTGGTTAAGTCAACCCCACTAAAGTGGGGTTTACACAGGGAGGGCCCTGCTCTGACGACTATACCTAACAAGGCCCACCCCCGGGGCACCCAGGGTGGCTCAGTCTGTTGAGCGGCTGACTCTTGATTTCAGCTCAGGTCATGATCCCAGGGTCATGGGATCGAGCCCCGTGTTGAGCTCCACGATGAGCATGGAGCCTACTTGGGATTTTCTCTCTCTCCCTCTACCCCTTTCCCTTGCTCACACGAGTGTTCTCTAAGATTTAAAAAAAAAAAAAAAAAGGGCCACCCTTACTGGTTTAGCCTGTTCCAACAATAACAAACACGCTGCATGTGGGGCAGCAGCTTGTAAACAAAGGCATTTATTCCTCACGGTTCTGGAGGCCAGAAGTCCAAGATCAAGGCACTTCCAGGCTGCAGAAGGTGCCTTCTCACTGTGTCCTCACCCAGCAGAGAGCCCCCTGGGGTGTCTTTTATAAAGGCCCTAATCCCATCAGAGTAGGGGGGGGTCCTCCACCCTCAGGACCCCACCTGCCCCAAGGCCCCGCCTCCCAACACCCTCACTCCAGGTCAGGGCTTCCCTCGGGCTTAGGAGTTAGGAAGCACAGGAAAATTCGGCCCAGCAGACCTACTGAGGCAGCATAAATATTCCACCATGTCCTCATTCCACATTTCTGTGGTTTCATTTTTCACCCTTAAGTTTTTAGTCACCTAGAATTTCTTTTATTTTGCTACATATGTGTAAGAAAACTTTTATAAAAACAGAGTCAACTGTTCCAATACCATTTGTTAACAACCTACCCTTTTCACCACTGGTTTGAGGACACCATCTTCCATACGCATTATTCTATACTGCGTCACTTTTTTAGCTTTGCATCTGTTCCTCCATCCCTGTGCCTGCATTACGTAAAATATTCCCTTTAAAAAGGGGGCCTGTCGGTTAAGCGTCCGACTTCAGCTCAGGTCGTGATCTCGTGGTCTGTGGGTTCAAGCCCCACGTCTGGCTCTGTGCTGACAGCTCAGAGCCTGGAGCTGCTTCAAATTCTGTGTCTCCCTCTCTCTCTGTCCCTCCTCTGCTCATACTCTGTCTCTGTCTCTCTCTCTCTCGCTCTCAAAAATAAACACTAAAAAAAATTTTTTTTAATGTTCCGTTTTATATCCTAAGATTTTTCAGCAGAACTTAGTAGACATCTGATAGCTCCCGCCTCATGGCAGGCACTATGGGATGTCCTAGGCAGGCAAAGACCAACCAGCACACTAGACTACAAACCCTTGAGAACCTTAAAGTTTACTTACAAAAACTTTTTTAAAAATGCACTGGCACTTACAATGCTCAATGAAAACAAAAACATGGTAAACAGGAATACTGTTCAACGGAATCGTATCTGGTTATAAAATGAAGTGCTGACACGTACTACGAGGAAGAACCTCGAAAACCTTACACCGAGTGCCAAAAGCCAGTCCTATAAAACACCCATTACGTGATCCCAGTTACATGACGGGTCAAGAACGGAAATCTATGGAGACAGAAGGCAGATTAGTGGTTGCTTAGGGTGGGGGACAGGAAGCTGGGGTTGACAGCGAAATGGGACAGGGTTTGTTTTGAGGTGATAAACATATTCTGACGTTGACGGTGGCGATGGTTACGGAAGTCTCTGGATACACCGCGACACCACTGAACCTCACCCTTCAAGTGAGTGAATGGTGTCCCATGTGAATGTAAACAGGTGAACTACATTATACGTGAATCTCAATAAACATGTCATCTTTTTAAAAGGCAACACAGCTTGCAGCTGGTTCTCTGGGGTTCTCTCCGGAACCCAGTCACCATGCTTTGAAGAAGCCGACTCGCCACAGGGGGCCCACGTGGAAGCACCAGAGCCAACGGCTTGAGCTGTGGTCCCAGCCAGCGGCCAGCACCAACCGCAGCAGCACGAGTGGCCAGCCTTCCCCTGCCCTCTCTCCCAGCCGCTGGGCCTCCCCGGTGACCACTCAGGCACCATGGAACAGGGACAAGCCACCCCCATGCGACTGGTCCCAATGAGCTCCTGACCCCAGACCCTGACAGAAGCCATGGGCTTATTTTGCAAGGAAACCTCTCAGCCTGCCTAGATTAAACACAACCTCTCTGTCACAGTCACGGTCCCTTTCCTGAAATCTCATGGAGGCCTCCCTGACCTTAGTACAAAGTCACCAGTTTTGGGGCTCCTG